CCGCCCCCCAATCCCAGGGAAACTCGGGCGGCTCCTTGATCCGCGCCGGCGTCCTGCGGGCGGGAACACCTTTGTGTCCACGCATGCGCCCCGCGACAGCTCCCCGACTTCGCGCGTTGCTGAACACAGACTGGATCAGCTCGGTGCTGAGCAGAGAGCGCCTCGGGGCGGAGCCCGGTCCTCCCGTACCCCCGGGGGCCCCTTGCCCATGCAATGCTAATAAAGGTCAAAACCCCCTGCAAGGCTTGTCTGTCTGTCCTTCCTTCCCCGTGGGGACACAGGGAGCTGCCCAGCCCACTGTCCAGAGCCCCGAGCCCCACACTCAGGATGGGGAGGAGCGGGGTTCCCACTCCTGACGCCCGAAGAAGTGCTGCGCGGCCCTGGGCTAGCTGCTTCTCCACTCTGGCCCTGATCAGCGTCCACATCTAGAAAAGAGGGTCGCACGGAACTGGCCGCGGAGCCCCACCCCGGCCTGCAGGGCTCTGTCATGGGGCGCCCCCGGGGACCATGGGCTCTGGTCCAGCTCGGGCAGGCAGGTGGGCTTCCTGGAGACGGCGGCAGGGTCTAGGCTGAATAGGCGCAGGAGAGCGGCTGGCTTGCAGCAGACTCTCCTGCTTTGGAAGGCAGCTCCTTCCAGCCGGGCTCCTCTGCCGCCACCTGGTGGCCGCAGTACCGCTTGAAGCGGGAGCGAGAACGCCCAGGCCTGTAGCTTCTCCAGGTCTGTTACAATCTCAACTGACCACACAGGAGAGAAGTTGGGACAGTTTTAGGGCAAGTGGGAGGGTGAGAACCAAACCTATGCAGAGGCGCTGATCCCTGGGAAGTTTGCGATGGCCCATGGGGACCTTTAGGTGACCAGCATCAAGGAGCAGAGGGAAGCCGGACGTGGTGACGCACGCCTGTAATCCCAGCACTTGGGAGGCTGAGGCAGGAGGATCGTTTCGAGTTTGAGACCAGCCTGGGCTACAAAGTGAGCTCAAGGCCAGCCTGAACTGCATAGGAGACCCTGTCTCAAAAAGACAAAAAAAAAAAGGAGCAGGGGGAATGAGGTTTGCTGGAGGGAGCAGGGTGACATGGGACAGAAAGACTCACCAGTTATTCTAGCTACTTGCGAGGCTGAGGTGGGAGGATTGCAAGTTCAAGGCCGGCCTGGGCACTCTAGCAAGACCCTGTCTCAAAATAAAATTCAGAAAGGGCTGGGCGTGCGGCCCAGCAGGGAGCTCTTGCTTAGCATGCCAAAGGCCCTGAATCCCAGCCCACCAGGACGAAAAACAGAAAGATCCATCCCCCCTAAAAAATCCCAAACAATTTTCTCTGGGCTCTGAGTAAGGTTGATTCCGGGAAGGCTGCAGAAGGAAGTCAGGCCCCCGGGGAGACCTAGGACCTGGGGGTTCTGGCTGCAGACCGATGCGCCAGATGTCAGCCAGGGCTGTTGAAACTCAGCCACGGCAAACCACAGGCATAGGAAACAGGACGCTCAGCAGAAGAGACAGAGCCACGGGGAGGGAGTCCCTGCCTCTGGGCTCAGCCAACATTTTGGGGTCCCCAGCCTTTTTTATTTTGAGATGAGTTCTTTCTAACTCACTAAATTCCCAGGCTGCGCTTGAACTTGGGTTCCTCCTGTTTCAGCTTCCCAGAGTCCAAGGATGACAGGCCCTCACCAGCTTGGTTTGGTGACTATTTACATATAGGTAACCCTCTGATGCCTGAAACTTTCTTTCTTTTTTTTCTTTCTTTTATTTGTCTTTTTGAGACAGGGTCTCCTATGCAGTTCAGGCTGGCCTTGAGCTCACTTTGTAGCCCAGGCTGGTCTTGAACTCACAACGATCCTCCTGCCTCAGCCTCCCGAGTGCTGGGATTACAGGTGTGCACCACCACACCCAGCTAGATTAAGCCTATTTTCATAGCTCCAATTTACAGAGGAGAAACTGAGTCACATAGAGATCAACTCAGTGACCTGAAGTTACGCAGTGGTGATAAGGATATGAACCCAGAGTCAACACAGTTAGGCACTACTGTCTTTAAGTCTGGCCTCATCCAAACCAAACCCTCCCATGTCTCTCTCATCCCCCAGCAACTCCAACATGAAGGAGGACTGTGCATACAGCAGGTGCCCACTAAGTGCTCTGTGATGACTTTGACCAGCTTTGAAGGTCCCTGCCCAAGAGGGAGGGGTCGATACCACTTAGTGAGTGTCTGACGAAGCTGGGGACAAAGGGCAGGCATTGAGCACCTGCTGCATACCTGGCTTGGACAGAGAGGGCGGCGGTTACCCCTCCAGACAGCTATGGGGGTTGGCATAAGAAGGGCACACAGGGACACACAGTGCAGCCCTCCCCCAGCTCTGGCGTCCCTGTGCCTGCCCGGCCTGTCTGTTGGATCCCTCCCCGCACCTTGCCCCACTCAGGGACGTTGGTGTTGTAACAGCCTCAGCTGCCAGGAGTCGGTGTCCTCTGGGCGCAAGCTCTTCCCCATGGCTCCAGGCGGAGGCCCCAGGCCTGTCCCACCACCTGCCAGGCCACGCGCCAGAGGGGACAGTGACAGGGTTCAACACAGCCTAGGGAGGCTGGGGGCATGGGACGTCCGGGGACGGGGCTGAGCAGCAATCACAGACTTCAGAGGGCCATGAGGCGGGGGACGGGCACAGTGGAGCTGGGGCCGGTGCCAGCGGCGAATCCCGGGGCCTGGGTAAAAACCACAGCTCCAGCGCTCTGGGAGGCTGTGTTGGCTTGGGGGATACTTTTGCAAGGGGAACAATATAATACAAAACACATACTTTATATGACTATTTATAATAGTCACCCAGAGAATGATACACAAAAGAGTGCAGGAAATCTGTCCACACACTAAGACCAAGAATCCAGCTGAGGGCCTGGATCCTATGAAAATGTCCTGCATGAGTCCACTGTAAGACCTAGAGCCCATAACACTGCTTCCCACGACTCCACCTGGAGGCCCAGAGCCCACGACCACGTCTCATGCAGGCCTGTTTCACGGATCTGTGCTGGGAAGGCC